TAATGTATAAAATAAAATACCTATTTACCTTATAACAATTTGATTTTTGTTTTAACTTTTTTCATTGCATTAGGATGGAGTTGTGGATAAAATTCTTAAAATTATTAAAATATATAAATTATCGACTACCATAAGTAACTCATCATATACTAGAATACTTCAAAACTCACATGCAATAACAATTGTATCTCCCATAAAGTATCAAAAATCAAATTAAAAATTAACTACTAAGTTGGTAATATTGACCAAGAATTACATTTATTAATTGAATAATTAGAACCAAAAATTTATTATGGATCTAATATTTTAATAAATAAAATTTTTAATTATAGATGATAAATTTTGCAAAATTTTTAATTTACCGTTAAATTTTGAAACACTAAATAGACTATAAAAATATTAGAACACTTTTAATCATTGTGGTTGCTGTATAAAAAATCATGGTTTTTCAATGTGAAGCACTTTGCTATACGAATACTATTTAAAATATAGAAGTACTTACAAGTATTTAAATTTTATTATCATTCTATAACATGCATGCATCAATCATTATTAAAGGTTTTATATAACTTAAATGGATTAATATATTGTTAAAAAAAGTTCTCTCTCATTTATGTAGTTATTAAATAAGTGTCACTCTGGTCATATCGATACTCCACAATAAAGAGACATTTTCATATTAGATTTAGGTTCAAAAATTTAAAAAATATCATAGTACTATAACCAATTTTATTTTTAAATATATTACAAGTTCTTTAATTTTTTTTTATTTTTTTTCATTCATTTGTTTATGAAACTTAATTAATAGGGATGAATCTTTCACAGATTCACAGTAAAGCATTACTATGCTTAAATAATACTTCTACTTTATCATCATGTGCAAGCCCTAACCATATTCTAATCGTGAATTTGAAGAATTAGTATTTGTTTTCTAAAGCTAGTAATACACAAAGTGGAATACAGTTCTGATAGCCAATTAATTTCCATTCCTCAATTTATTGTAGTACCGGGGTACCTCTTTATGGGGTACCGTATTAAAAAATATGTTTATTTTCTTCATATATCTTATATGTGTTTTAATTATATAGTCTTTCTGAATGGTGATCTTGAAGTTAGCTTAGAAAAATATAAACACTATGGTAAGCTAATATGATGCTTTAAGTCAGTATTTGACATTGTTCTGTGATCAATAAATCATATTTTAACACAAGAAAAGTTCTATCAATAATATTCTACAATTTTAAACTCATTTCATTCTTCTACGGCAGCAAGATGCTGTCGGAGAACGAACTGAGTTTAATATGTGTTAACTTTTTAATAAATTGTATTATTTTGGCTCATAATTTAACAGATTCAGATCCGGGTAAACCTGGCCAACACAGCATATTACCATTATATAAATTTATAAAGTAACCATAAAATAAATTAAGTATTTGCATGAATCAAAAAATCGGTTTCCTTTTATTTATTTAATTCATTTTTTCTCACTAACCCAGTAGCACAACATAAAAAAAAAAAATAAAATTCCAATTAAGAGGACAAAAAAGAATAAAAACCACCAAAAATAAAAAATATATACTGTATTGCAATTATCTGTATTGCGATTATTTAATATCCAAGCCAAGAATAATAAATATTCATCTCATCAGATCTGATAGTGCACATGTATATTATTTCTATTTAATATTCTTTCGAATATGTTTATTTTCTATATCATTATTATATATTAATGATACTATCCGTGCCTAATTAGAAGCTTATCTTCATACACCTGGATGTGCATGATCTTGAATTTCTTACAAATGCATTATCCACCAATATTACTAACGCTTCAAATTCTTGATATTCCTTTAAATAATAAGATTGATTTGTCATTTTACAAAGATACTGGTTCCTTCAAAGGATTTGGCAACGAGAATCATGGATCAATTGGCAGACCAAGAAAACAATCATATTTGGGATTAAAGATTCGTATTTTGAGTTCAAGATAATATAGATTTGGCTTTAAGAGAACAAATTTGGGTTAAGATACTTTTGTTATTTTTTTATTGATATATAAATTTTATGAAAATTAAAATTTTTAAATAAAAGTAGTATTTTATTCTTTAAGCTATAAAAAAAAAGTACTTTTACGATTTTTAAGATTGTGTATCCGTTAATGTTATAAAACAAAACTACCAATAGATACTAGTACTTTGAACTTTCAAGAACAGGTAATCATTATACCACATGATTAAGTGCTCCCTAATGTTAGGGTTAGGTGATAGCAGAGACATGAACTCAATGCAAATTCCAGAGTAACATGATAAGTAACAAAATTTACGAAATTGTACGTAACTTTTACATGAATAGTGCATTGTCATATGATAATTGCACCAGCATTACAAAAGTTTTGCTAGCGTTAACAATATCTATCAATATGTTCGGAATTGTAATTATA